ATTAAATCATAAAATAAATTTTTGTACAAATATTAAACACTTACAGATGTAAAAAATGGAGACAGACAAAGCCACTAAGGTGCAATAAATCTACATATCACTTTAAATTCACCTTAACATATCTTAATGACTTAATCATTGACCGAAACAATGTCATTCTCATAAAAAGCTAAATTCCCAGTGTTTTTGTCAATTTGGAGGGGGGACCTTTAGTACATGGCTATTAACAAGTAATCACAAGAGGTGTAATAATGAAGAATGCCCTTCATTTTTGCAGAGGGCAAGGTAGACACTGGTGTCCAGTCCTCGTCTTCAGAGGAAAATATGGAGGGAACTTAGGTGTTTGATGATGCGTTTAATTCACACAGGAATACATTAATATGATAGTCAGTGGAGCGGCAAAGCCCTCAAGTAAGGTTCTCTCATTAGTATGTTTCTCTATTTCTTTTTTTAATTATTCAACAAAAAAACGAGGTGCCATGTGACAGATGTATTGGCTGTGTCAAGAAGGAATGATTTGAATTTGAATTGTGCAAAAAATCTTGCAATTATGAGGGCTCATTTGTGTGTGAGCTAAATATTTGCCTCTAATGAGTATTGACACTGAAGCAGGAGTCAGAAGATTGAGTATATTTATTCTCTTTTCAAGGATCTAGTCACATATAAAATATCCACACGAAATAAAAAATGACATTATTCTGAGCATAAACAGAGACCTAATAATGCAACACAGTGAGGTGGACCAGACAAAGTCTACCACACCCTCTGGTTCGTCTGACTTCAAAAGCATACCATTTAGAGTGTGCAATGCCCCGTACAAGCTCGGTGCTCGTATAAGTCATTCTCAAATCATCTCGGTGGGTTATTATCTCACTTTGCCATTGTCACAACTGGTTGGCGGGGCTTTCATCGTGCTTATAAGGTAAACACCTGATCTGCACACACTGGAGTATTGTCTTCTCATCTCTGCTTAGACAGAACACAGGAGCCAACTGAATGAAGACAGAGAATGATTAGTGACAATCCTGCACTTCATCAGTCAAGAGAAAAAATTTGTACATGAAAATATCAACATTGCAACAGCAAAAAAAAAAAGAAAAGAAACTGAGCTTATCTGCAGTGCATTTTAGAGTTCATCCAGTGGGTTGGTTTTATAAATTACAGAGTTGTAGAGTTTTCTCAACACATAAAGAAGCTTACAAGTTATGCAAACAGTATGTGCCTTCAAGAAGCAATGCCAGGATTGTGGTTCATATATTCGAAACATGTTGTATCTTGAAACATCGACAAATATTGAGGTTTGTTGCAAGCAGTAGGATGCATGTAATATATTCTTCATTACATTTGAGCTCTTCTACTGAGGGAAGAAGTTCTAAATATGTATTTCTTTCAAGTGGTTTTTACTTGTTTTGAGGTCCAATTACCTGGGTGTACTTTCTTTAAACATGGCGTCTTTAACTGATTCTCATTATTGTCTCGTCTTAATTTTCCTTGACACAGTTAACCACACTGGGTTCCAGTGCTTTGAATTGAGGTTAACGCCAGCCCTCTGCAAGAGGTTAGGCAGGTAATTCATTGCTTGATTAGGCTCACTCTGCAATTAATCACGCTTAAATGCATACCCTCGCAGAGTGATCATTTAGGAATGATGATTAATGAAAGGCGTCAAATATTTCTCACACTGCACGTCTTATTGGGCAGCTGCAGTAATGTGGGTCACAGCTGTCACGAAGTGCGCTGCAGCAACCTTTGGCCAATACTGCGATCGTGCTTACACACCCTAAATACAGGGGTGAAGCTCTTGCGAGTTAATTCTGTCTCTTATTTATTTATCTTATTCTTGTGTCTTCGCTCCTCTTTGAAAAGCCAGCTGCAGTGCAGCAGAAGCGATTTCTGGGAACCTGCACACATCAAAATACAGGTGCAAGGTCGAGAGGACGAGCGGCACACCTTGTGGGCATGCGGGACGACGTGTGAGATAGTTGTGTGTCAGTGATTGTTGAGTCAATTAATTATTGAACTTGGCAAGAGATCAATCGTTCCAGTAAGGTGATCCCATTTCCAACTGGCAGCATATTGAGACAGTAACCTATGACAATATTAATCACTAGCACAACAGCAGGCTAATTCCCACATGTAATTAGTCTACATTTTAATTCATTGAAAACTAGCACTTTTCAAAACTCGCTTAATTATGTACTTACACTTAATTATAGTCCCCCCCCCCCCCCCCCC